AAGATTCTTTCCCCCAGAGCAAGGAGCTTAAACTTTTGACCTGGTCACTTTTCTCCTGGTAGTCCTGCAGTGTTCTGCAAGACAGGGATTTGAGAGCTGCTGTGTTCAGCGCCCCTCCCTTCAGCAGAGAATGTAGCCTGGACTTTAAAAGTTTTAGGTTTATCTAACCCTAGGGCATGCCATCCTGGTTTCCTACACCTCACTATGTGAACATAAGTGACAGGTCATGCCCAATACCAGGGCCCTCACTCTGTAAGCCTAAATCACACGTCCCAAAGAATATGTAAATTCTGGGCCCTCACACATCAATCAGAATAATCTCACAGATGTGGGAAGTTCCTCAGTTGATTTTCTGTCTTCCCAGGTGTCAAACAATAAAACCAGCACAGTGTCCAAGAAAGATATCTATTACAAAAGACATAGCTGGTAGCTTGCTCCTCTTGGGGAGTGGGACCTGGAATACTAAAGACAAATCTAATCTCTACAGATAGAAGCAGCACTGCGCTCCCTATAGGAGCACCAGGCTAGATGTCTACTGGATTTGAGCTCCTTGTTAATCCTGCCCAGAACTCCAGAATGGAGCCTGTGTTAGGACCCTGTGTCTGACTGCCAGGGACCTGCTTGCCTCTGGTGTTTCCATAGTCTGAGATGGTCTTAAGCTAAGGCTCTACCATGACTTAGAACCCATAGGGCTCCTTTCGTTAGGCCTGCTTATTAAGGTTCTGACTTCATCAGGAAGATGCACCAGGGAAGGGAATTTCTAGATTGGAAAAACAGTCCTCTTAATGGTAGTACAGCACCCAAGAGCTAGCATGTCACCCCAACCCCACCTCATATACTTTTCTACTGAAAAATCACCAGTCCATGGTAATTCTTATTCAAACACTGGACTTCTTATTCAAACACTGGCACTGCACACCAGGAATTATGACTTTGGCACCATCATGAGTCACTGAAAGGCCAGCTTTTGTTTTGTTTTTTGAGGCAAGGTCTTGCTATAGAGCAAAGGTAGCTTGGCATTCTTGGTACTATCCTGCCATCAAGTGGAGCTGCTTTGCTGATCTTAGGAGGTCTGGGGCATGGGGGAGTGTGGGAGATAAGGGACAGGGATTTCCAGCAGCCTTGTGAGGCCTTGTAGGCCTGAAACTTCCAGCAACGCTTTTGCCTGGTATTATAGGCAGGTACCACCATGCCTAGCTCTGAATGGCTAGCTTGATCATGTCCAGGTAGTGGTAGTGGAGTGTCCCAGTCAATGGCAATGAAAACCACTCTTGGAGAATAGTGCCCACTGGTTAGCATTTTTTACTCAGCAAAGGGCAGGAGTGAAGCTGCAGCTTGGGAGGCCCGGCATTTCTGGCACAATACCGCCATCAAGCGGAATTCATTTACAGATCTGCCAACACTTTTGTGTGGTTTTCTAATTGTGGAGGAGGGGGGTTGACACTGGATCAGGCCAGTTGACACTGGAAAGTGGTTCCTGCAGGCTTGGACACCTGAAGAGTCCTGGGAGAAGCCAACTTAACAGTGGCTGCCTGAACCATTCCAACCTCTTGAGGCAGGCCGGGGGCCAGAGAGCTTGGCCTGGGCCATACAGAAAACACGGTCGGCCACCTAGGTCTGGTGGAGGCCATGTCTGGCAGGGAGGAGAAGCTCTGCCCAGGACTCTGCATTTCGGGCTCAGGGATATGGCTTCCTGTCCTAGCAGAAAGCAGGCTGCTTTTCCTGACTGATGCTGGGAGGCTAAATTCTGGCCACCAGTGACCAAGGGCAGTGTGGTGGCAACTGGTTCCCTTCCCCTCTACCCTCTCAGCAAAGGGTGGAGGAAGTGGTGCAATACTGCCATCAAGCAGAATCGCTTTGCTGATCTCGCCAACAGCTCCTTCAGTGCTGCATGGGTGGCAGGGAAACTCTGGTCCAACCAGCACAGGGCAGGGGGCTCTTGTAGACTTACAGAACATGGGGGCAAGCTAGGGTCCCTATGACCCATGGTGGCCTGCAACAGTGCAAACTCGTTAGGCAGGTCAGCACCAGAGCACTGCCTATGACCCATGGTGGCCTGCAACAGTGCAAACTCGTTAGGCAGGTCAGCACCAGAGCACTGCCTATGACCCATGGTGGCCTGCAACAGTGCAAACTCGTTAGGCAGGTCAGCACCAGAGCACTGCCTATGACCCATGGTGGCCTGCAACAGTGCAAACTCGTTAGGCAGGTCAGCACCAGAGCACTTGTCCTGTGCAGCACAGAGAGCACAGGTTGTGAGTTCCTTCGGCCATGTCTGGCAGGGAGGGAGGAGAGTTTTCCATTGAGGCTTAGGGATGTGGGTACCTTGCTTGTGATCACTTCCTGTCCTCTTAGCACCAAGGTGGAGAGTCTGCCCAAGTGCATAAGGCTACCCACAGGACTGCTAGCTGTTTTCAGTAAAGAATGCCCATAGAGGGTCCAGCACCAACGCCCAGTGTTTCCAGTGCACAGTGGGAAGGCTGTAACTGACCACTTTGATGACCAGTGTGGTACTGCCTGCCTACTTCACAACTGGTTCATTTGGCAATTCATCAAAAAGCTTAGAATCCTTATCCCTCTAAGGCTATGAAACTTCTAAGGTTATGAGACAGAAAAAAGGTATTAAGTAAGTTAGTAGATGTACATATGATTCTATATGAATATATATTCATTGCAGAATAAATCAGTGAATACAAGTGAAGAACTATGAGTTTCATATAAAACTTCCTAGAAAACCACAGACCCACACAATAGCTAGTACCTATGTAGAGCCACTGGGCCATCTTCCTGAACTATGAATCTACAGCCCATGTATCTCCAACCTAGAGCACTCCATCAAGGGAGAGTGGACCCTCAGACTCCTAGAGGTGAACCATAGAATTATTCTTTTCTTCTCAATTGACATAAAACCCAGACAGTTTAATACCGCTAACAATGTTCCTGTGAAAATAACACACACAAGATGAGGTGACCATAAGTGCAGCCCCTAACAATGTTCTTCAGGGAAACAATACACACAAGATAACTTGCCAGATATGTGTGGCCAAGAAAACGACTCCTTTGTATATTTTGCCTTGTATCACCTGCAGAGCCCATCCCAGCAATCATTTCTGGTTCAACAATGCCATCAAGTGGTAGATTTTGAATATGGCTTCCAGCTAATACCCTACAAAGTTATATTTGGGGACTAGACCCCCCCCACTCCCATTCCACTAGGCTTCTAGAATAAGTATGAAGTTATGGAACTGGGTTGTGAGGCTTGGTCGAAATAGGGTGGGGAATGAAATTTGCATGTGGATTCACACACACTCATCTAAAGGGGCAGTGCTGATGCCAGGCTGTCTGAGTCCTGCCAGGGACCAGCTTACCACTGGTGCTTCCATAGTCTAAAATGGTCTTGGACTAATCCTCTAGCATGGATCTATGTGCTATGGTCCCTGTCAGGACCCCATCTCTGTGTTTAAGGGGTGGGTATGGGGTTGGAGTTGGGGAGGTAGAGGCAGACCACCATGAACTAGAAACTTGCTTACTGCATGGCTCCACAGTCAGCCCTCCCTTGGCACCTGTCACCATCATTCTTGTTCCCAGGGTCAAAATGAATCTTGAGCAAATGCCCAAATCAGAACAGCTCACATTGACTAAGTCAGGATGCTGGGTATCCATCTTGGAGTGTGGTAGCAACTGGTTGGTGGTTTTTTGTTTTTTGTTTTTTCTCTCAGAAAAGGGGTAGTGCAATACTGCATCAAGCAGAATTTATTTACTCATCCTGCAAACCAGGGGTGGTGCAATATTGCTATCAAGTGGAATTGATTTGCTCACCGACAACAGTTCCTTAAAGGTTTTCTAAGCAATGTTGGCATGGGTGACAGGGGAATTTAGTCCAAGCAGCACATGGGGTTGGGGGGTGGGGGTACTGCAGGCTTGCAGACAAGGATCTTCCCCTGGCAAGCCTCAGGAGCTTGTACTGGTCTAAATCTCTAGGCCTGTGCAGCACAGGAAGCACAGGATGTGAGTTCCTGTGGCGGCCATGTCTGACAGGGAGGAGAGGCGCTCTCCTGGGACTTGGGAATCTAACTTTCTTGTTATCCCTTCATGTCCTCTTAGCAGCAAGGAGGGGAGTCTGCAGAAGAGCATGCAGATACAGGGTACCACAGCTCACTTCCTGGAACCACACCCTGCCCTTGATATTCCATGGCCCTTAAGGTTGTAAGCATGCATATGTTCCACCCAGAGGTCTTTTCTCTGCCCTTTCTTTCTTTCTGTCCCTTTGTCTCCATACGGTCTCAGGTGTAATTCCAGTGGAAATGACTGTGGGAAGTCTGTGTCCCAAGGCCAGATGCTCTGACTTAGGCTGAGAGGCCCCTGTCTGTCCTGTTCCTGCTTAATCGGGGGACCCAGCCTGGGGGCCATAGACTCCACAGGGCCCTCATTGCTACTGCATTAGGCCACCCCTATAGGAGTACATGTAGCCCTCTCAAGATGCCCAGACCATACAGGAATCCAAAAGGAACTACATCCTTAGCTGGAAGACCAGAAAACCTCAAGAAACAAAACCATGGACACTAGTCTACCAGAACATTCTGACTTGGGCATTGCTCAGGACCCTCAGCTATCATCTTGATCCTGGGACAAGGGTAACACATACAATGGGAGGCCTGCCAAAAGAGGGTTGACACTGTGGAACCATGCCCCAAACAAACTTCTAGTTCAAAATGGCCTGCCTCTGACTCCCCAGCTCTCACCCCACACCCACCCACAAAACACACAGATGGGGTCCTGACTGAGGCCACAGGTCATGAAGAAGATGAGCAACCACCAGAGGAGAGAGCCACCCACCTCAATTCAGGCCTAAGACCAGCACTGACTTCGTACGTGGAAGAAGTCAGCTCCGGGGTGGACACAGGGCAAAATGAATAATGGTGTGTGACCTTCTGAGGGTTCCATTTTCTCAGGCCAGAGCAGGGGGATGGATAGCAGACCACAGCTGCCTCCCAAATCCTTTGGTCTTCCTGTCCACAGGTCCCAGCCTGTGCAGTCAAAGATCTTGGATGTGGGTCCAAATTCAACTGTCAGGCATCTTGCATAGTGCAGGCTAGCTTTAGGCTAGGATCATTCCCAACACGCTGCCTGGGACCCTGATATGGGGACAGAAAACAGCAAATTAAGAAATACTCCATTCTTGCTGATTCCTACATTGAAGGTCATGCACTTGGGCCCAAACCACCTATATGAGAAGGCCCAGCAACCATTGTAATCTCACTGTCATAAATTCTTGGCTCTCCCTGCCCTATACCACACATACTCATCACCAGTTGGGGATATGTCCCTATTTCCTTTCTTCAAAGTAGCCCAAGTTCCTCTCAGACTTTACCTTTGCATCCACAAAGGTACTCACTGCTGGACCTCTGGTGCAATTCAATTACACTGATAGGCAACAAGATACATTCCACTGACCCCAGTCCCCATGGATCAACAGATGGGTCACCCCATGAGGGAGCACACACTCACACAGAGAAACACATGTGTGTGCACCTGCATACACACACACACACACACACACACGTGCATGCGCACACAAGCATATGCACATGGGCACATGCATAGTCAGCCTGCCTTACATACAGGCTGACTATGACATTCCTCTCTGGATTCCTGAGAAATTAACATCTTCACTTGGCAATGTTTTTCAAAACCCCACTGGAACCCTTTCGTCCCTTGACTGAGCCTTCAGAGACTCACTTCCTCATTGAATAAATCTTTTGTGCTCCCCCGTCCCTTGGAGAGAACTCCCTTACATTTCTACTCTCCATCTCTACCAAGCCCAGCTGAGAGAGCCCCTCTGAAGATGCTGGCAACTGAGCTGCCTCTGGCCAGGCCTGCTCTGAGTTTTCAGCAACATCAGGCCACCCACTCCAAGGTACTGGTGCTGGAACCTTTCACGTGGTTTCCAGCCCAAAATTCTGTGCTGCCATGCCACAAGCATAGACAACCATGCCTTGACAAACTGGAAAGCCTTGCTCTAAGATGCCAGCACTACATGTTCCCTGCACCCACCTGTGTTCCTTTGCTAATAAACTCTGTTCCGCTAGAGTTTTATCTGTGTCCTGGTGCTTTCTCCCGATCAACCGGATTTATCCATCGCCTACTTCACCTATCATATGCCAGCCTTGAAGTCCTTCCCATCAGCTTGGAATATTTGTCTGACAGGTCGAGGTCCTTCAAATCCACCTTCAGCACTGTTCAAGGAGAATAAAATGAAAATGGAACTTAAGGCCTGGCTAGGTCAAACATAACTTTAACCTCAGCACTAAGGAGTGAGAGGCAGGTCTGTGAGTTCTAGGGTAGCCTTGTCTATGGAACAAGCTCAAGTAACTCAAAGATACATAATGGAACTCTTTCTCAAACAAAACTAAATAAAAACTAAACACGGACAAAATATAACAAATAAAAGACACTATAAAACACATAGACAAAAATAGGCATAAGGAAAGAAAAAATAGGATGGGAGTTAGGGAGTGGCAAATGGAGAAGGGAGGGAGAGAGGGAGGAGGAAGAATGGTTAAAAGACTGTGGAATGTGTGGGGACCTGAATCCCATGGGGCAGAGGGCAGAATAGCCAGCAGGTGAATTGTGGGTGTACTAGGGAGCCCGGAAAAGAGCTAGGAACCCTGTGGATGGGTTTGCACACTTGGGCAGACTCCTTTCCTTGCTGCTAGAAAGACAGAAAGCAATCATAAGCAAGGTCCCCAATTACCCAAGCCCCAGGAACAGACTGCTGGGTAGCAGGTAGCACCTTTCCTCCCTGCCAGACATGGCTGCCACAGGAACTCAAAGACTGTGCTTCCTGTACTGTGCAGGAAAAGTACTCTAGAGCCTGGCCTGCATCAGGAGCTTGAACTGCCCCAAGCCACCATGGGTCACATATCTTGCAAGTCTACAGAATCCCCCTGTCCTGTGTTGTTTGGAGCAGAGTCCCCTGCCACCCACGCCCAAAATGATCAGAGAAATAGAAATGCTTGTGCGATCAGCAAAGTAATTCTGCTTGATTGCAGTATTGCACCAAGAATGCCAGACTACCCTGTCCCCAGATCCATTCCCTCCACCCTTTGCTGGGCAAAAAAAAACCCAACAAATTTCCACCAAATTAAAAAATGGCAACTCCATAATTTGGCATAATTTGGCCGCTGGTTGTCAAGAGATGAAACTACCACCCTCAGGCAGGGGATCTTGCCTGAGAGCCACATACCCCACATGGTCTTCATTTCCACTTTACAGGGACACTCCATTAGTGGGGCATTGTGCCACCTAAGACACCTGAATCAAAAACAGATCCTAAAGGAATCTCATCCCCACTTGGAAGATAGGGGAGAAGTTTCAGAAAGAAAATCATGACACTAGATCCAAGTACTAAGCACAGTCTGTTCATTGCCCACTGAGAACATTCTTCTCTGAGCTTTGGTGCTGGACTCTCTATGGTCATCTTGACTGCATGTTCACAGGCATTTTTTACTGAAAACAGTTAGGAACCTGATGGGTGGCTTGGTACACTTAGCAAGACTCTCCTTGCTATTAGAAGGACAGGAAGGGATCACAAGTAAGGTCCCCACATTCCCAAGCCCCAGGAGCAAACTCCTGGGGAGAGCATGCCTCTCCTCCTCGCCAGATACGGCCACCACAGGAACTCACAGCCTGTGCTTCTGGTGCCACAGAGGATGAGCGCTTTGGTACCTGGCCTGACCTGCCTCAGGTGATCCACACTGATGCAAACCACCATGGGTCACATGGACCCTTGCTTTCCCTATGTTCTGCAAGCCTGCAGGAGCCCCCTGTCCCTTGTTTGCTTGGACCAGAGGCCCCTTCCTCCATGCCAGCACTTCTTAGAAAAACAGAAGTGTTGGTGCGATTAAGAAACCAATTCCGCTTGATGGCGGTATTGCACCAAGAATGCCAGGCTAGCCTGGCCCCAGGTCCACTCCCTCCTCCCTTTGCTGAGGAAAAAAACACCAACCAGTTGCTAGCACACTCCAAGATAGCTGGGCAGAAGTGAAACTCCCAGCCTCAGTCAGAGAGCCTGGGAGCCACAAACCCCAAAGGGTCCTCATTGCCACTGGATTGTGACACCTCTGTATGAGAGCATGGAGCCCTGTTAAGACCCCCAGTCTTTGGCCAGGAATCCAAAAGGAACCATATCCTTAGCTAAAAGAATGGAAAACCTTGAGAAACAAAACCATGGACTGGGGGCATTTTCTCAGGACCCTTAGCTAGAAACTTGATACTTGATGGGGTGGGGTGGGGGGACAAGTTTGACACAGTCACCAGGCCTGCAATGGAAGCTTGATACTGGTCCATGCCCAAAGCAAAGTTCTAATTCAAGGTGGCCTGTCTCTACCTCCCCAACCACACACCCACCCACTAAACATACATATAAGGTGATGACTGAGACCATAGATCATGAAGAAGGCAAGCAGCCACCAGGGAGGAGACAGTCACCCACCTCAGTGTGGGCCTAGGAGCAGCACTGGCTTCATATCTGGAAGAATAGAGCTCCAGGGTGGACAGAGGGCAAAACACACAATGGTGTGTAACCTTCCGAGGGCTTCATTTTCTCAGGCCAGAGCAGGGGAATGGATAGCTGGCACTGAATCCCTTTGATCTTCTTGTCTGTAGATCCCAGGCTGTGTAGTCAAAGATCTTAGATGTGGGTCCAAATGTAATTGTCAGCCATCTTCCATGGTGCAGGCCAGTTTTAGGCTGGCTAGGAACATCTCCAACATCTCAAACAGTAGGTTCCCTGGGACCCTGATGTGGGGACAAGCAAACAGCAAATGAAGAAACACTCCATCTGAGCTGCTACCTTCATTGAAAGTCCTATACTTGGGTTCAAACTACCTATACGAGAGATGACCCAGCAACCATTGTAATCTCGCTGTTATAAACTCTTGGCTCTCCCTGCCCTACTACCCCACACACCTATCCCCAGTCAGGGATATGTCCCTATTTCCTTTCTCCAAAGTAGCCCAAGTCCCTCTCAGACTTTCTGCCTGCCTCCATTCAGGGACCCATGGCTTCAGTACTGCACACACACAGCAGAAGGATCTCTGAAGTGATTCAATTATACTGATGGGCAACAAAACACATTCAAAAGACCCCAGTCAACATGTTCCCCCACTAATTGCAAAAGTGACACTTTTACCCATGTTCTCCTCAGTCCTTTCCTACCACAGCCCTGGCATCCTCTAAGGAAACACATAAGTTTCCATACAAGGCTGAACCCATGGACAGGAAACAAACTCAATGTATGTATCAGCTCAACCAATAGGTTCCCCATCAGGCTGTGGGAATGCATGCTTACAAACAACACACACACACACACACACACACACACACACACACACACACGGATGTACACACATTTAGGCTGACATATAATCCCTGTCACAGGTATTCGGGACAGATAGTCCTCTCCACTTTTGGTAATGGTTTTCAACACCCCACTGGAAGCCTTCCCTTGACTGAGCCACTACAGGCCTACCTACTCATTGTTGAGACCTGCGCTCTCCATGTTCTCTGAGAAAGCTCCATTATAACTCTTCCGCTCTCCATCGCTACCAAGCCCAGGTGACAGAGCCCCTCAGATTATGCTGGCAACTGAGCTCCCCCTGGCCAGGCCTGTTCTGAGTCCTCAGCACTACCAGGCCACTCACACCAAGGTGCTGGTCTTGTGACCTTCCACATATTTTCCAACCAAAACTTCTGGACTGGCAAGCCACAGGCATGGACAACCACCCCCTTGACGACCTGGAATGCCCTGCTGTGAGATCTGAGCACTACACTTGAGCCCTCCTGCATTCCTGTTAAGCCCTGGCTCTCTAAAGTGTTTCCACAACAGATCACCTGTCCTTCCTGTGTCATTGTAGAACTGTTCTTCCACACTTGCTATATACCACCACGTTCTGGCCTTGCTTCTAGACTGTCTGTGGACTTCAGAGGACATACACAGAATGCACACTCCCAAGTTCACCATCAAGCTGAAGCACAGTCTCTCTGCCACATGGCAAACACAGACCCTGCCCTACCCATTCTTCCACCTGTGGTCACAGAGGAGCTTGGCACAGAGGTCTGCCTTTATATGGCACCACAGTCCAAGATGGCTATCCAGTATCTTGGCCACTGTGGGCCAGTGGTAGGCCTCCCAGGACTCCAAAAGGAAACTCATCCCTAGCTGGAAGACAAGAAAAACTTGAGAAACAAAAACATGGACACTGGGTCCACCAAAACATTCTGACTTAGGCATTTGCTCAGGACCTTTAGCTATCATCTTGACCCCAGGACAACGGTGACCCCAACTCTCACCTTACAGTCACCCACCAAACACACAGATGGGGAGCTGACTGAGACCACAGGTCATAGAAGAAAGTGAGCAGCCACAATGGAAGAGGATAGCTACCCACCTCAACACAGGCCTAGGCCCAGCAAGAGTTTCCTACCTGGAAGATGACAGCTCTGGGGTGGACACAGGACAAAATGCATTCAGGTGTGTGATCTTTTGAGGGCTCCATTTTCTTAGGCTAGAACAGGGGGATGGATTGGGGACCATAACTGCTCCCGAATCCCTTTGGTCTTCTTGCATACAGACCCCAGCCTGTACTGTCAAGGGTCTTAGATGTGGGTCCAAATGCAGCTGTCAGCCATCACCCATAATGCAGGTCAGTTTTAGGCTAGGAGCATCCATAACTTCTCCCTCAGCAGCAGGCTCCCTGGGACCCTGATGTGGGGACAGGAAAATAGCAAATGAAGAAATAGCAAATGAAGAAGCTGCTACCTGCATTGCAGGTCCTGGGCTTGGGCCCAAACTACCTATATGAAATTTCCCAGAAACCACTGTGATCATGTGGTGTGTCTTAAACTCTCTGCTCTCCCACCATCCCACACACCCATCACCAATCAGGGATATGTCCCTATTTCTTTCTCCAAAGTAGCCCAAGTCCCTCTCAGACTTTCCGACATCCCATTACTTCAGCACATGGATGGGTAGCGAGACATATTCCAGAGACCCCAGTCCTCATGTCTGCTGCCAGGATGCTGGTGCTATACCTTCCCATGTCCTACACAGTTTCTTCACATTTGGGTCATGGAATTCTCAAAGGAAACACACAAGTTGCCTTTATGAATTTTCTTCTAGCGAGTTGGACCTATGGGACAAACTTAATTGATGTCAGGTTTCCTGTGGATGAACAACCACAGCCAAACACATATACACAAAGGATAAGCACACAAACATGCATGCACACACTAATAAATTTTATACTTTCCCCATCATATATACCTTCCTCCAGACAGATAGTCCTTCCTTAATTCCTTAAGAATTATGTTTTTATTTTACTTATTTTTAATTGTTTTTTTGTGTATTTTATACAGAACAGCTCAAAAAATCTTAATCATCTTTATACCCCCATCCCCACTGGTACCCTCCCATGGCCTCACCCCCCCATCCCCACTGGAGCCCATATACTCTGTCATCCCTGTTACTGCCCACTGTGTTGTTAGTGCCCCCAGTTGTTTTCCAGTGCAAGTTCATCTGTTGAGGTCTAGTCAGCCTATCTAGAGTCCCCTGTTTTAGGAAGATCAACTCTTCTTCATCTAGCAGCAATCAGTTGCCAACATTCCTTCAGATAAGATTGAGATCCGCTGTTCATTTTCCCAGTTCTATGCTGGGTTATTGTTTGCCTGAATTTGCATGGAACTTGTGAATGCTGACACCTATTCCATAGACTCATATGAGCAGGTTCCCAGGGGCTTGTAGGACTCTTGTTTCCACGTGGTCACATACATCTTCCCTGGCTCTTAAATCTCTCCACCCTTTCTTCTGAGATGGTCTCTGAGCCTTAGGTGGGTGAAGTTTAATAAAGGGGTCCTGTCCAAGGGTCATTATTTAGCAGACTCTCTTGATCTCTACATTTTGGCCATTTGTGACCTTTGTGTTCCTGGCCCTCTGCTGCATGAGGGAGCTTCATTATTGAGAACTGAGAGATTCATTAGTGTCCTCTTCTTTATTCCTGTTCTGTGTTCCATGAGCCTTAGGTGTAGAGGTTGCATTGCAGATGTGTCCCTTAGGCCTGGGCAATTCACAATGTCTGTGTGTGACCAGTTGTAGTACTTGGTATTAGTCTCTGATTGCTTCAAAATGAGCTTCTTTGATGAGTGGTGACTGGGATATTTGTGTCTAAATATAAGGATACATATTTTGGATATAGTAAGAAAACACATTTGTCTATTGATGTGAGAGTTTTGGGGTTTTCTCTAATATCTATGGCCACTCCAACCATGTTTACTAGGTTATGTCACACTTGAGTTTCCTCCCTGTGAGTGGGCACAAAAGTGCCACTACTGCACCAATGACATATGCTGTGCTGGCCAGTGATGTGGTTATTTCGTCTTGAAGCTGGTGTTGGATCATCTGTTGATGTTTTTCCTTGGCACTTTCATAGCATTCTCCAAAGCTATGAGAGCTCGCCTTCAGGGTAAGTGGCTTCCAGGTCAGTTGCAGCTCTATTTCTCCAAATCCTGTGTCCGGCATATGTTCTGTCTTCGGCAGTAGGGTCTTATCTTCAAGTTCTGGGACGCTGTCCTAGTTTGTTTCTTCATTGCTGTGACAAAACACTCTGACCACTACCAACTTGGGGAGGAAAGGGTTTATTCAGCTTACATCTCCCAGGTCGTAGTTCATCAGGGAGCCCAAAGAAGGAACTCAGGGCAGGAACCTGGAAGCAGGAGCTGGAGCACAGGCCATACAGGAACTCTGCTTACTGGCTTGCTCCCCTGGCCCCTGCTCAGCCTGCTTTCTTATGCAACACAGGCCCAACTGCCCAGGGGGGGCACCA